ATTCCATCCATCATCCATCCATCCATGGATTCCATCCATCCATCCATCATCCATCATCCATCCATGGATTCCATCCATCCATCCATCCATCCATCCATCCATCCATGGATTCCATCCATCCATCATCCATCCATCATCCATCCATCCATCCATCCATCCATCCATCCATCCATCCATCCATCCATCCGTCCAAATTCCCAGAAATTCCCAGGAAAATCCTGCCTTTGAACGGGGCTGGAGCTTCCCTGGTTCCTGCTTTGGGATATTCCCATTTTAGGGCATCAAAACCCCAAAAACAAACTTTCACCCCCAAATAATCCTGTATTCAAATTCAAACCTGTGGAGATTTGGCTGATCTGGGATTTGGCTTTGTTGGAATTCCCAGGGAGGTTTTTTTGGGAATTGTTTTGGCTGTTGGGAGGAATCCTGGCCCCAAATCATTCCCACAATTTCCAAGGATTTCTGAGCTGGTTTTGTCCTTTTTCCGGACCTTTAACCCTTTGTGGGGTGTGGTGTCGCTGTGTGGGATGGGGAATTGGGGAATTGGGGAATTGGGGGATTTGGGGTTTGGGGGATTTGGGAATTGGGGATTTGGGGTTTGGGATGGGAATTTTCCAGACGGGAGCTGGGGGAAGCAGGGACCCCGAGGTGCAGGGCACGAACTGCTACCAAATCCCGCTGATTTTTCCCACTTTTCCTGTTTTCCCCTCTCCAGGTCAGACAAAACCCTCCAGGACATCGTCTACAAGCTGGTCCCGGGGCTTTTCAAAGGTGCAGCCAAGGATGGGGAGAATTTGGGAATTCAGGAATTCGGGAATTTGGGGTGACTCGCTCCCACCCCGCTGAAACCCTTCCCGGGATTTCCCATTCCCACGGGGACAGCAGGACACACGGACACACGCCCGTCCCAAATTTTGGGACAATCCGGGAGCAGGAGCCGTGGATTTGCTCCGAGCTCCTCGGAATGGGGGAAAAGTTCAGGATTTGGGGTGTGGGGACCCAAAACCCCTCAGGACTGGGGGTCACTCTGGGATTTATGGGATCGCTCTGGTGGGAGCTCCCATGGGAATTCCCTGGGTGACCCCTGGGCCTCCTTGCTGTCACCCCCCGTCTGTGGCGCTGTCCCCGCTCATGTCCCTGTCCCTGTCCCATCCCTGTCCCATCCCTGTCCCTGTCCCTGTCCCATCCCTGTCCCTGTCCCTGTCCCTGTCCCATCCCTGTCCCGTCCCTGTCCCTG